GCCCGATTTTTTAACAAAACGGAAATTTCAAATTTATTTTATTTTTGCATTATGTATATATATATTTAACTAACACACTATTAAGCGCACTTGGACGTTCAATATTAACGTGATTTTTTGTGGCGTTAAGTCACAACCACCCAAAGAACAAACACATTAAGATTCATTTACCCCTTCTTTAAAACAGCTCTGAGATCGGTCCTGTTTTTTTAACTTTAGATATTGTTTTTTAATGGGGTTTAATTGTTTTAATAAGTTTAAGTTAGTGGGATTTTGTTATTCATGTCATAATTCAATTTTTTCTACTTTAAATTATTTTATATTTTTTTTTTAATAATATAAAAATGATAGTTATTAAATAAAACTTCATAATTTACTTCAATTAATTAACAAATATAAGCATGAAACAGGACAAGATAGTATTCAAGAATCTTAGTATAAAATTTTTTATTAATTTTTTTTATTTAAATTTTAAATATTTATAAAAAATATTAATTACACCCACAAAAAACCCTCATGTTATTACATGCACCTAAAATTCGACACCCAATACCCATCTTCGCATCTTTTCATCGTACGACACTATATTCTAATTTATTTTTGTTTGTTGAAAAATACACGTACATACATTAATAAATATTTTTCCCTACACTAAATTTTACATTCGGTTATATTATCATTTGCCCTTTTATTGCTACATTAAACTTAACCACAAAGCTTTACGAAACTCTAGTTACAACCAACAAACCGCGTTAACCCCAGATCGTTGACAGAGCCGCGCAATGCCTGTGTCACTCTTTCAATGACTTTTTTGCTAGTACGATCTTTCTTTGCATCTTTAGGACCAGAAAACGACTAAATAAAATAAAATATTTATTTTTTTTGTTCTCTTGTGTTTGTTAAAAAAACTATCAACCCGTCGTGAAGCTACGGCCCATTTCTCGTGCGACTTACTAGGCGGTCATACATTGGTATAAATGAAGTAAAACTTTCATTTTTATTAGTTATTAGGTATGCGACATCTTGTAGTGGACATGCGGGTTTTTTTTTCCTGTTTATTCAAAAGTCGAGAAAAAAAATTAGCTTCGGGAATCGTCACGTGATTTGATATGCAGATCACATATATGCGTGTTTCTTTAGATATTTTATGTATTTCAGGGTCTAATTTTCTTTTTAATGAGTTTTTCTATGAGTGTAAATTGTCGATAACACTTGCAGTGGAAATTTTACAAATATGAATTTATTAACAGTTAAAATTAATATAATACATATAAGAAATTATTGCAAAAAGTTTTTTTGAATCATAGATTTATAAACTTTTAATAATTCCTACTTCAACAATATTATAAGATTAAAAAATTCTTTATCTATCTTCAAATATACAATATATCAGATACAAATTATAAGTGACAACCTAATATCCTCTCAAAAAGTTTCAAGCACACTTAGTATAAGGCTCAAAACTCAGCAATGCAAAAGAACATAATAATATCTGCAAAAATAAAATAAAATAAATATCAAATGGACACCAATTAGAAGAGAAATACAAAACTCAATACAAAAACCAATTTACTGGGAAATCCAAAGTTAAGAATTATTAAAATCCGAGGGAAACGCGAGAAGAGTCAACTGATAAACTATTTGACGAAGTGAAGAAATTTCCTCTTCTAAAAAAGACACTTGAGAAACTAATTGACGAAGCGAAGTAATTTCCGCTTCTAAAGATGATATTTTGGAGTTCAAGGAAGAAAGTTCTTCATTAAGTGTACGAATACTTTCAATAAGTTTTTGACGAGAAAGTTGACGTGAAGGATCAACAAAAACAAAGTTTAGAGT